AAAAAAAAAAAAAAAAAAAAAAAAAAAAAAAAAAAAAAAAAAAAAAGGCAACCATCCAATGATTGCACCTCTATGATTAGGGAATCTTACACAAAATTATTATTATTTTCTACTTAAATATTCCAAAGTACCAAAAAAATTAAGCGAATAATAAATAAATAAATAAATAAATAAAACAAAAAAAGGAAAAATAATCCTTTGTATCTATTCTCTTTAATTTATTTAAAATACATTATGACTTATTATATAATATTAACATAATTGTTATATTTACAATAGCATTTATTTATTTTTTACTACTTTCTTGGTGACCAAAGTTAAAAATAAATGGCTTTTAAAAAAGTAAAAAGCTAAAGTAATTCTAGAATTTACCATTATTTTATTAATTAGAAAAACAAAAGCTGTAATTTAATTATAAAAAATATTTCTAAAAATAGTATATTTTGAGGTTTGAAAAATAGTTTTAAATGACATGTCATATTTTTATAATTAATTTACAATTTTAATTCCAACTCGCATCTAGTTTTGTGACGTGGATTGATTATTTAATGAAATTCGTATTTATAAACCTAGACCAAGATCTCGAAAAATTAGATAGTCGTAGTGTAACGACCCATGTCTAGGATTCAGCACATGTGGGCTCAGACATTCATTTGCATCTTCTGCAACATGGTCACGTTACATATTCTTGATTTTTTAAGAGTAAAAATTATCTTCACAGACCAACACGAGTCATTCTAGCACGTTTTGTCTCCCGAGAAAATTTATAGGAGGTCGCTCAACATAGAATTGCTCCAATTTTAAGTAAAGTACAGTTAACATAAAGTTCTTATGATTGAGCTACGAGATAGAATTTAAAAGAAAAATAAAAAATAAAAATAATAATTCTATGTACAATCATGCAAGCACATGATGGCTTAATAAGCTTTAAAATTGTACAATCATGCATGCACATGATGAAATTGAAAATTCAAATTATCTATTTTTTAAAAATTTAATATATTAACCGACGAATTAATGATTATGAAAAAGACCATTTAATTAAATAATAAATAATAAAAATTGTGCAATATTTAATTATATCATATTGATAAATATGGATAATTATAGAAATGCCGGCAAAGAAAAAGAAAAAATAATATAATAATAATATAATATTAGGTTGAAGAAGAAAATGAGATAAAACTTATCGAGACGATAATGATGAATAGCTAGTTCGTGTCCATTCCCTTCGGGTCGCAACATCCTTATTGGCACATCGAGTCGTGTCTATCCCGACACATAGTCCGGTGTCTGGCTCTAATGCCATTTATAACAACCTAGATCTACTGCTAGTACATAATGTCTTATTCCCTTACGAGCTTTCCCTTCGGCTTGTTTTGTTCTCCCCAACCAATGTGGGACATCACAATTCGAAAAGATGGTCAACCATACTGGGACCGAGACATGACCTAAACGAAAGGTAGTAGTAGAGAATTTTCCGCAATGGGTGAAAGCCTGATGAAGCAATGTTACGTGGAGGTGGAAAGTCTATGAGTCGTAAACTTTTTTTTTGTCCGGGAGAAGAGATGATGACGGTATTCATGGGCTAAATAAATAAATAAATAAATAAATAAATAAATAAAATAAAATAAAATAAAATAAAACCAATCATTGAAATTCTCCACCCATGATATGGAAATCTAGTAAATTGCACTCTTTTTTTTTGTTGCCTTTCGGCAGGAATCTAAATACGTTTTAATTTATTTTAAATAATAATTAATAATAATATCATGGTGGGTTTTTTAATATTCGCTTATTTTATTTTATTTTTTAAATTAAGTTTAAAAATATTACTTTTATCATTATTATTATTATTTTATCTATATATATATATATATATATATATTTAAAAACCAAATTAAATTTCGAAATCTAGTAAATTAGTTTCTCTAATTTAGTTAAAAATTTAATTTTTTTTTTTTTAAATCAAATCAATTGTAGGCAATTAATGAGAAAATAAATACAATATTTTTAAAAAAAATAAATTAAATAATTAAATTTTCGATGATATTTCACAAACAAAAATAAAATTTAAATTTTTTTTAATTATATGTTATCAAAACTACACTTCCGAGTTATATATATTATCAAAGTCGTTGTTCCTTAATCATTTTAGCTTATAACATTGTTTTTTTTTTTTTTAAATTGTTTTTATTGTATTTATTCGCTCATGTTCTTTTAAACATTTCTCTCAAACGTGACTTGTAATTCGTGGCTCGAGAACATACCGACGCTATCTGTGTAATCCGAATTTCTCATGACTGACTTATTCACTGTATTAGAACAAGTGCTGCACAATCGCTGTCTTACTATTGTAAAAGTGCGATTGTGACACTGTGCATACTCTTCGCTTATAGAATCTGTGTTCAAGCTGGTTCCGTTCATCTCTAACCTAATGCTATTTCTCATTTTAAAAATTCTTGGTAAGCCACTAATTTAATCAATTAATAGGGTAAAAAAATTGGGTCAACCATTGAATAGTTAATTAAATATATAAATACTAAAATAACTGATTCATCATAAATTTATACAAATTTTAATTATTAATTGCCAATTTTTTTAAAAAATTAATTGGTTTGAGTTGCCAAATTTGCCCTCATAGCCTTTGTATTAACATTTATAAAATAAAATATTTTTGTCAATTAAATGAATATTGACTCTTTTGACCCGACACGGTAGCTAAATGACAAAAATAAACCGACATCTAGGTTAAATTTCTAAGTTTAACTTTTTACTCATTAGGTTAAATTTGTAAGTTAAAACTTTTTACTTGTCCCTATCATATCACACCAAATCAACTTTTTACCGACTTAAAAATGAGATGATCGTATCAGCTAACGAATCTTTTTTAAATAGTAAAAAAAAATGATCAAAATTTCGAGACTAAAATTATAATTAAACCCAATAAAATAATAAAAACTATATCTAATTATTAATTTGAACATAGCTCAACTGATTAATATATCATTACCGTCCACCAAAAAATTAAAAATTTGAATCTTTGAACTAAAAAAACGTACCCTGAAGGTTGGAGTTGTTGGATGATGAAAGTCACACATCGGTTAATTTAGGGAATGGTCATGGGTTTATAATTTAAGAATACACTCTCCATTGGTATGAGGCCTTTTGGGGAAGCCCAAAGCAAAGCCATGAGAGCTTATGCTCAAAGTGGACAATATCATACCATTGTGGAGAGTCGTGTTCGTCTAACAGGAGTAACTCTTGTATTGATTATGGTAGGTAGCAAAGGTAGTAACCATAACATGCTGGAGCATAATGTTTTTTAGAACAATATGTTTCCCAAAAAGACAGAAAAATGGTTGTTCTTGTGTCATGTTCTTCAATAGAGATTGACATTATTAAAAACAGCCTTTTTCTTCTTTATGTCCATTAATTATTTATTACCCTTTTGAAATGATCACTGTTTATGCAAGTTTTCTCTCTCCTTTATATCACCCATTAGGGTTTTCTTTCTCTCTCCTCACATGTTAATAAAGTTTGCTCCTTTCTCTCTCTCTCTTTCTCTCTCCCTCTCACCCTCTCTCTCTCTCTCTCTCTCTCTCTCTCTCTCTCTCTCTCTCTCTCTCTCTCTCTCTCT